TACCTTCCCACTGACAACCCCCCATTCCTCCCCTTCTTTCACGGATGCTCTTCAAAAGACAGTGGAGGTGAATATATGAACTTTAAGTTTCTCTGACGTCTACCTGGTGGCCACAGATTTGAAATACTCAGGGGATACAAAGGACTTATCATAGTGTGAAGTACAAAATGGTCTCACATGGGTGAAGAGTGCCCCTTGACTCATTTTGTAGGTCTAGATTTTGATTTTTCAGCTGCCGTTAAAAATGGGGTCACCTTGGGGCGCCTGGGTGGCGCAGTCGGTTAAGCGTCCGGCTTCAGCCAGGTCACGATCTCACGGTCCGTGAGTTCGAGCCCCGCGTCGGGCTCTGGGCTGATGGCTCAGAGCCTGGAGCCTGTTTCTGATTCTATGTCTCCCTCTCTCTGCCCCTCCCCTGTTCATGCTCTGTCTCTCTCTGTCCCAAAAATAAATAAATGTTGAAAAAAAAAAAAATTAAAAAAAAAAAAATGGGGTCACCTTAACTTAGATTCTAGACACTAAGAAGCGTGTAGAGTGAAGATCATAGCTCAAATGATCTGTTCTTACCCCCTTTTGAATTCTTCTTGCCATAAACAAGCTTCTAATTCCAGGTGAGAAAGAAGCCAATGAAACAAGCCAGGGGGAAGGTGAGTGGCTTCTCCTGGGAACCTGTAAGGGTTTATCTCTGAAAGACATTTTCCCCCGCCCACACCCCCCACAACTGTGATGGGACCACCCCACGCTCAGATGCCAATCACTCAAGAGAGGTGCACTGCACTCTTAACAAAGCAGATTCATATAAACATCCTTCCTTCTAAGCAGAAATGCTCTTTTCTGCTTTACTAGTAGAATCCAGGTGAGCTCACTTCGGAAACCATTTGAAAGGCAAAAAAGCCAAACTCACAAACAAAATGTTGGAAGGGGGAAAAGAGGAAGAAACAGGTGGCCTAAGTTCCTTTATCAAAAGGCTCCTTTATCAAAGAGCCTGAGTGGCTCAGTCGGTTAAGCGTCCAACTTTGGCTCAGGTCATGATCTCACGGTTCGTGGGTTCGAGCCCCGCGTCGGGCTCTGTGCTGATGGCTCGGGGCCTGGAGCCTGCTTTGGATTCTGTGTCTCCTTCTCTCTCTGCCCCTCCCCCACTTATGCTCTGTCTCTATCAAAAATAAATAAATGTAAAAAAAAAATTTTTTTTTAAGTTAAGTCTTAGATCTTTACCCTGGGTTTTATAATAGGAGAATAGGAGAATTCATTTCGAGGTGGGGTTGTAGGTCTCTAGTGTGAGGCACTATTCATTGCAGAGCATTCAAAAATGAAGGGAAAATGTACACCTGACATGAAAATACAGAAACAGGAGCTCAACCAATAAATGTGTAACTTAAGGCGGTGTTTCCAGAGCATAGGTATTTTATATGCCAAGATCTACCTACTGCAAACACAAGCATGGTGCTGGGAAAGGCACAGACTTACGGATCCAATAGCCCAGGGAGGAGGAGAGAGCCTGGATCAGTCAGGACACAACAGCAAAGGGACAACACACTCAAAAGGGCTTAACTGAAGATTTTTAGGAAAGAACTGTACACAGTTTGGCACAGAATTAAAGGAGCCAGTAAAGATTGGTGATAAGTGGGAAGTTACATTTGCCCCAAGGTCTAAGGGGCGAGGGGGAAGGAACTGTACACGCAGGGAGTCTGGCAAGAGCCAGAGCTGTGGAAGAGGGCTGCCTGGCAGGACCCGTGCCTTAAAGGAACACAGCAGATGAAACCAGACGAATGGAGGGCAGGGGTGTGGTGCAGACGAGGACGGCCACCTCTTGCCTCTTGCCTCCTGGTTTTCCAGTCGTGCCTATTGACCAAACTCAAATGGAAAGCCAAGAATAAGGGGGCACAGGTACTACAGTCCAGAGACATCAGCCTCCCAGGGCATGGAGAGTGAAGCCAGGGCAAATGGAGAGAAACAAGCAAAGAGCCCTAGACTGAGGGTCAGGACACCCGGTTCCAGCTGTGGCACACTGGCTTTGCGACTTTGGACGAGGCTCAACATATCTAGATTTCTAGGAAAGGACTGAGTAGATGGTTTCTCCGGGCTCTTTCAATTTTTACATCCTGTGGCCCTCATCCGGGAACTGTGTGGAACCAAGAGATCACACATGGCTACTATGGTTATCACAAGGCTTTAAAGCAGCACCCCTCAATCTCGGAAATACTCATTCTGTTTCCTAACCCACAAATCCAGATAGAGACCAACTCCATGGGAACAAAAATATGGGCCCAAGGAATCCTCAAGTCTTGATTCTCAGCTTTATCATCAGAAGTAATGTCACATCTTGACCGGTTTCCCTTTTGATTGTTGAAGAGTTCAGAATTTCACATGGTGGTCTCGTTCCTTTTGAGGACAAATCTGGACAGTGAAAGGAGATGAAGCATCCAGGGCCCCAGAGCCTCTGAAGCTGTGTGTGCGGGAGAGAAGGTTCGCACGCGCCAAATGGGAAGACCACACTGGGATTCCAGTCCTCATCACTGCGGACCAGCCTCTCCTATTTCCTATTTCCCACTCCTGCTCTTCTGCATCTTTCTTGTCTTGGTCTGACACCTGCCCCCTCGCCAGCCTAGAGGGGAGAGGAACCTACAGGATCAGAAGGTTCACACTCTTTGCCCGCCTGTGAATGGACTTACCCACTTTCCCTCATCTCATTAGCTACTTCTGGTCATTTTGGTTCTGTAGCTTGACAAAATCTCTTATTATCTCAAAGCAGTCTGGAAAAGGATACTAATATATATTAGAATCCTTTTTTTTTTTTTAAGCATTAAGCAAATAGAGATCTTGAAGAAATTCCTTTCTCCTAAAATACAGGAATCGATGACAAAAGAAGCATCAAGCTGACTGAAATTTCACAGAGAAGAGACTTCCCTTGTATTTCAGGAATGGTAAAAGCTGCCGCCCCTCATATGACTTCTTGGGCGCCGCTGACATCCTCAGATGTAAAACCCAGGGGAAACGGCCTGAGAGAAAAAGGCATTTGAAGGCCAAAGCTACTAAGAAGTCAAAGAAATGAAAGCCTGTTAACCTTGGACGGAGAACCATGCATTGGGGCACTCTGTAGCAAACAAGTCCAAATCGGGGTAGATAAAATTAAGTTATACCCACAGTAATAAACGCTCTAATTTTGCTTTAGAAGTTTGCTCTGGAGTTATTACTGTCATTATTTTACTTGATAATTATGGCTTCACGTGTTAATAAATTTCACTTGTGCAATAATTTTGCAGGCTAAGTAGTTACCTGGGAACTCTGTATCATGCACCTAGTAGGTCCTGTCAATGAATGTTCACCGCAAGGTCTCAGCTACAGAACTTCGAAGCTACGACGGTGTCCTCCTCTTCCCTCGCCTCTCATACTCCCCTAATCCTGTCTAGTAGTGCCCTGCACCATCCGTTCCCAGACGCACATACTACGTGTTTTCCTGGACATCCATCCACATGCATCGTCCAGGATCCTGTGTCATTTTGAAAGTATCTCTAGGATTCCTGGGCAGTGTTTGTGTTTGCTTGCTTGCTTGTTTTTGCCTCTGGCATAGAATTTTCTGGGAAAGAAACTGCTTCCCCTTGGGGATCAAGGGACTCCCGTGCCAGTTAGACTGAGTGCCTCTTACCCATCGCCACATCCCAGTCCCTAGCATAGTCATGTGGCCCACAGAAGATGCCTGAAGATTGTTAAAGCAGAACTCTGTTTTTAGGTAAACTGAGCTTCGCTGGTCCCTTAGGGAAACACAAAATTGAATGCAAAGTAAACATCTCCGGAGGGAACTTTCCTCTTTCACAGCCTGAGTTCTGAGAAATGTCCTCCCATTGCAAGGTGGGAAGGGGGGGGAGCAAAGACAATAAATGGACTTAAGTGTTTTCAGAAAGACTGTGGTGAGCACAGACCCACTCGGTCCTGTCGGATATGAAAACGGTTTGTCATGAATGATGAGGCGTGCTGGTCAGGGATCCGCTTGGGGGAGTTCTTCAAAGGTAGTCGGGAAAGAGAAGCTGATCGAGTGCACCTTGGGAGGGGGTGGAAGAGCCACGTGTGGCCCGGTGCTCAGCAGGACCACTGACTGTGGAGAGGCTGACTGTGATAAATGTCAAGAAGCCTCGAGATGACTGAGGGCAGGCCAGCTCCTGCTTTGCCCCCACGAGTGCATCACACCCCCCCCCATCCTATCTATGCTCTTTCCTTTGAGCTCCAGGAACTGCATGGTTCTCTCTACTCCATGAGGCTCTCTTTCCTTAGCAGATTTCCTTCTGTCCTGTCCCAATGACACAAGAGTAGGTATGGTGTTATGAGTGAAAAAGAGCACTCACGGATGCCGGGGCCACACCGTCCAGTTCAAATCCTTCCCCTGTCACTAGCTGCGTGACTCCGAACAAGTTACTTAACCCCTTAGTACTTCAATTTTCTTATCTATAAAATGGAACAATAGTACCCCTAGAGTTAGTATGAAGATTCAATAAATGAATGCCTGAGTGCTGCAAAAGTGACCTGAGGCTCTACTAATCTGCCTAACAGACAGGATTCAGATGGAAAAGGAAAAGGAAGCAGGCCAGAAACCTGTCCCCAAAGTAGGTACGAGGCTGGGCTAGCAATATCAGGTACAGCAAATAAAAATGCAGGGTACCCAGTCAAATCTGAATTTCAGATAAAGGATAAATACACTTTTTTCTTCATTTTTTACATGTTTGTTTATTCTTGAGAGAGACGGAGTGCAAGCAGGGGAGGGGCAGAGAGCGAGAGGGAGGCAAATAATCTGAAGCAGGCCCAGGCTCCAAGCTGTCAGCACAGAGCCCTACGTGGGGCTTGAACTCACAAACCACGAGATCATGGTCAAATGCCAAAGTCAGATGCTTAACTGACCGAGCCACCCAGGCACCCCAGGGACAAATACATTTTTAGTATAAGTATGTCTCAAGCATTGTATGGGACATATTTCTACTGTAAACATTTTTGTCATTTACCTGAAATTCAGATTTAACTGGGCATCCTGTGTGTAATCTGGCAACTTTAACCCGGACATCAGGCTTGTGAGGAGGGAACATTGGTCCCATAGGCTCTCCGTGTTCCTATTTCACACTTAATGATACGCTGGATTCCACCACAAGGCTGAAATGCTGGCGGCCAGGACCATACATCCGAGGCCTGCGAGGGATTCTTGAGGATGCTCAGAACTCTGAAGCACCTTCCAAACTCTGAAATTTCTCCTCCAATTATCCTGCCACCCAGTGTCCTTATTTGGATGGAGAATTCCTCCCTTCAGAGTTTCTAGACTCTATGTCACAATTCTAGAACACAGTCTCCCCTTCCTATGAGAGCTCCCAGCACTGCAGAGTGCTCATGCTGGACCGGAGTGCTGGTGGGGGGTGGGGGGAGGTACCCCCAGAGAGCAGGGGTTCTGGAGTCAGCAACGGCTGGGTTCAAATCCTCGGTGCACCACTCACTGGCCATGTGACTCTCTGGACTCAGTTTCCACATACGTAAAACTGAGGTAGAAGCTGCCATCTTGCAGGGTGTTAGACAGGACGGGCAGCAAGACATAAATTCAATATAAATTCCCAGGCACACAGTAGTTGCAAATAGTCGCTGAGCAAACAGTGGTTTGCTGTTATTACTAGTTTTACCGATGCCAGCCAGAAAATCTTTCATTTTCAAAGTTTTATATCTTTAAAGTGAATTAATCTCTAACTACTTTGGCTCTGTAAGTTTCCAATTTGTTTCCTTAAAGCAGAGAGTACCTACATTGAATTAATGTATCTCCACTAGAGTTTGCCTCTGAACGATTACATGGATTTGTGACGGAGGTAAGTCTCGTACCAGATTTAATGGAACTACGTGCAATTTGTTTTTACAATTCTGGTACTCTGAAAAGCATTTCCGGGGAAAAGACCGATCAGTATCCTCTGCTGGGATGACAGAAGTTCCCACTTACGGCAGAGAAAAAGGAAGAGTAAGACTGGTCGTATATTTCTTCCAGTTTTAACTCTGCCATCCAACATGATCCATCCAGTTTGTGGTCTGTCTCCTCCAGGAAGCCATCTCTGGTTACTGCATCACTTAATACTATTTAGCTTTCTCTGAATACCTAAGCACATAGGCTGCACCACAAAATGCCGGACAGATTTAGCCATTATTTTAAAGTTCTTTTATTGAGTTGTTCTGGTCTCTCCATCCAGGTTATAATAAGCTCCTGGAGAACAAATGTCATTCCAAATACCCTTCTGTAGATTCAAAAACACCTTGCACCATACTGAGCCTGATAAATACTTGCTGAAATCATGAATGAAAAATCTGCCACTTGGTATCATGTAGAGAAATGGGTCACTAACCTGTAAGTATTTTTCAATTCCATCTGACTCGGGGAATAACAAATATTTGATGATATGATTTGATCTGAACTAAAATAAGCATGGCTCCAGTGGGATAAACTATCAACAAAAGGACAAAAGTTGTTGTTCCTCCACAGAGGCCTAGGAGGACCCAGATTCTTACTCAGTATCATCCCTTCAGAAACAAATTTGAACAAATTAGTTAAGCCTAAGCTTGAAGGCTCTTGTGAGCCCCTAGAAACCTCCAGAAGCTAGAGGTTTAATCAGAATTTAGGGGGAAAAAATCCAAAGGATCATTTCCTAAACTCTTATTCCCACTCCTACCCCAAACCATTTTCCAGTCTGATCATGGCTCTCCCAACAGTGCCTGTTTATATAACGGAAGTTGATTTACATCTGATTCCACGTGATCACATTTCCATTATAGACCATAATGAAATTCACTGGACGACTTACACAACGGAAAGAATACGGACTTGGGAATTGGAAGTGAACCTACTCATAGCTTGATGATTCTCTTGTCTTGATTTCAGTTGCAAAATCTATAGACATTCCCAAATAACGTAGAGCTCCGTCAGGGGAGCTGGTTTATGTGTGCAGTGTGGTTGCGTCTGAGCTTGGGGACATGCAAAAACACATGAGCATCCCCCGTTCATGCTCTGTCTCTCTCTCTGTCCCAAAAATAAATAAACGTTGAAAAAACACATGAGCATTATTTGCAGAAACGAGGGGGTCTACAGGAGAGGGTTCTCAGAAGGGAAGGAAAATCGGTTTGAGACCTCGATGATCCCTCTACATGCTGTAAACTCAATAGGCTCTCAGAGACTTGGTTGTTGTGGTTTTTCTATCTTGTAAAATGTACTTGAAAGAAGATTCAACCTCTGTAGCAAACATTTAACATCCAGGCCTCTGAGCAAAATTATCTACAAGTGTAGAATGAGCAAAGCTCTATCCACAAGTCCTTTAGTCTACTCCAGAAGGGGTAGACTGGACTTTCCACGGCACGGATTTTCCTCCCTTTATTGGGCCCACACGCCAGGAAAGCTCCTTGCCCTTGACCACTAGACAGGATGCTTTTCTGCTTCCCTTCTACTGCTCTGGTCTCCCTTCTCAGTGCCCTTTGCTGACTCCCTCCTCCCCCTGAGTGCAAGCTCTGTGCCCTTCACATGGCTCTGCCCTCGCTCTCCCCCTCTATTTAGGAAACAAATCCTATTTTAGGACTTCACCATCACTTCTACTCTGTAAGTCTCAAATCTGTATTCCTCGCTGGGTTTTTCATCTGTGCTCCAGTTCAGGTGCCTGTGAGGATCTCCGCCTAGACAGATCCTCGTCACAAACCAGAGGCCCCCAACAGAAACCACAATCACCATTCTCGATACTCCAATAGCCTATGTTCAGTCACCGAAACACAAGAAGCCTAAAGCCATTCATTTGTTCATTCAACAATGACTTACGTGTGTCTCTTATTTCCTAGATCCTCCTATTAACCACAACCTAAACTTCAACTCAACTTATTCCTACTCAAAACACTACCTTCTGGGACACCTGGCTGGCTCAGTCAGTGCAGCATGCAACTCCTGATCTCAAGAGTTGTGAGATCGAGCCCCAGGCTGGGCATAGAGATTACTTTCAAAATAAAACCCTTAAAAACAAACAAACAAACGAAAAAACAAACTACCTTCCTTCCTTTCTCTCCACATGCCTCATGAGAATTATCTCCAGACTCCACTGAGTCCTAAATCACCTCCCTTCTTTGGATGTCTGAAGCATTTATTGATTATATTACCATGTGGGCACTTAATACAACAATGCCTTGGACTCTTAACTGTTTCACGCAGATAGTTTATACATCTCCAAGTATGTTGGAAGCTTCTGGATGACAGGAACTGTGTTTATGGATTTTTTTTTTTTTTTTAAGTATCTCCCTATCCTGGCACATAAGTGAATAAGTGACCTCTATAAAGTGTGTATTTCAGGGCCTGGCACCAAATACGAGCCTGAAAACAAGCTTAAAAATAAGTAGATACTCAATAAACACTTGGCAAACTGACGAAGAACGAACTGTGTGAAACGCTCCCAAGACATCAGTGTGCCAGGCCCTAATTGGTATTTACTGGCGGGTACATTTTTGAGTCTTGACAAGCCTTTTGCAAAAACAACTCACACAGACTTGAATTATTCGGGGAGTGAAAACGGAACATGGGAGTATGTTAGCTACGATTTCCTTCCTTCTTCCCGTCACTTCTAATAATGTAAATGTTTGGTTTAACATCACATCTGTAAGCGGGTACCTAGCTGGCACCGGGGATGAAAGTGCCTCCCTCGCTGGCCGGGGCTGACTGGGTGGCTCGGTTGGTTGAGCATCTGAGTCTTGATCTCGGCTCAGGTCATGATCTCACGGTTTGTAAGATCGAGCCCCTCAGCGGGGCCGGAGCCGTGAACACGGGGCCTGCTGAGAATTCTCTCTCTCTCTCTACCCCCCACCTTGCACCTCCCCCGCTTGCACATGTGCATGCTCTCTCTCGCTCTCTCAAAATAAACTTTACAAAGAAAGTCAGAAAAGTGCATGTGGACTCATGGGCCATCGTGGTGGAGGAACCACAGGGAGAGCAGCCGAATTTGACAACGAGGAAGTAAGCTGACGCCCAGGGAGACAGTGACTTGCCCAAGGTCACACACCAACTGGCCCAAGGTAACCTTGAGGGACCTACCTCACTTCCTCCCACCCTCCAGCCCAGCTGACCTCCCCTCGGCCTCTGAATGTCTCCCATCCACGCGAGGGTGCTTTGTTATTTCTTCCATGGCAACCATAACCTCACAAAGCAGAGCTGACCTCCTCCACCCCTTGCAAGAACAGAAGGGCTGAGAGATTTCTGTATTGTCGGGGTTTTTTTAATCTCAAACAGAAGTTAATTGTCGGGTTCAGACCAAAAAGAGCCAGTGACACCTCACCCCCAGCAGCCCTCTCAGCAAAACCCAACACAGCCAGGAGTGCCTGGCTGACCTCAGATGGATTTAGAAGCAGGGTTATTTTTTCCCCTTTGTTAGTCAGTGACACCCCCCTCCCCCACCAAGAAAAGGAAATCAATCAAGGGTCACAGGGATTTGCTCGTTTCGGTTTTCTTAGATTTTATGGTAGAGTGAGTGAAAAATCTAAGCTGTCTCCCATTGTTTCATTACCAGAAATTCAAAAACATTCAATATAAAAAAGAATTTTTAAAAAATAGGTGGGGCACAGAGGATTTTTAGGGCAGTGTAACTACTCTATACAACAGCATAATGATGGATAGTGTCATTAGACATTTGCCCAAACCCACAGAATGTACAACACCAGGAGTGAACCCTAAGGTCAACTGTGGACTCTGGGTAATTATGGGTCCGTGTAGGTTCATGGAAGGGTAACAAATGTGCCACTCTGGGGCAGGTGTCCCTAAGGGGGGGACGCTATGCACATATGGAGATAGGGCATATGTGGGAAATCCCTGGACCTTCCATGCAATTTTGCTGGGAACCTAAAACTGCTCTAAAAAATAAAATCGATTAAAAAAAAAATACAGACTCTGTGACAAAGAAAGTCAGATATGAAAGGAGAACAGGAGGAAGCAAAAAAGCTGGATAAGGGGGAGATGGAAAGCAGTATCTGACACAGAGGAAATAAAATCCAATGCCCCTGAAGGGTAGAGAAGCAGCAATTCTGATCCCAGAGAGAGAGACTCGGGAAGGTAGCTCATGAAAACACAGAGACACATACACACACACACGCTGAAAACAAACACACAGGGGTGCCTCAGTCGGTTAAGTGTCCGACTTCAGCTCAGGTCATGGTCTCACAGTTCATGAATTCAAGCTCCACGTCGGGCTCTGTACTGACAGCTCACAGCCTGGAGCCTGCTTCGGATTCTGTGTCTCCCTCTGTCTCTGCCCCTCCCCTGCTCTCTCGCTCTCTCTTTCTCTCTCTCAAAACTAAGTGAAAGAAAGAAAGAAAGAAAGAAAGAAAGAAAGAAAGAAAGAAAGAAAGAAAGAAAGGGAGGGAGGACACAAATTTGACAATAGCCACTCAGACACATTGCAGTCATCACTATAGAGTCCTATTTCTATTATGTTCTTTTCAATTCAACCATACCTTATGATATTCTAAAGCAGTCACTGAGCATTTCAACCATGGCTGCTAGGACTGAGACAGTGAATTTTTTATTTGACATAATTTCAGTTAAACTTAAGTCTGTATCTAAAAATGAAAGCAACGTAAGTGGTTCTCCACTAAACACAACTTTACTCAGTAGGACTACTTTTCACTTTGCTTCAAGGTCAAATCGATTCATTCTTTGCTGATAAACTAGTTTTATTAATATGGATGTGAATATTTTTTTAAAAACTGATTTGGGGAGGGAGGTACTCATTTTAGTTATTAAACTTTTAAGTAGGTTTGGAACAACTTGAATATATAAATCTACATTTTCCACTGTAAATTTTATGAACTGCAGATATAAATCAAGTATTTCTGATGAAAATTTAGCACCCAAATTCAGAGGTGTTCTAAGTATAAAATACCCACCCAATTTTGAAGACTTAATTTTTAAAAATGTAAAGTAACTCATTATTGTTTACACTGATCAGCTATTGAAATAAGAGTATTTGGAGTATATAGGGTTAAATGATATCCATCATTAAATTTAATATCACCTGTTTCTTTCCACTTTTTTTAATGTGGCTACCAGAAAATTTTAAATTAGGTATGTGGCTCATATCACATTTCTTTTGGACATCACTATTCTTTTATTTTTTTATTATTATTTTTTTAACGTTTATTTATTTTTTGAGAGACAGAGAGAGAGAGCGTGAGCGAGGGAGGAGCAGAGAGAGAGGGAGACACAGAATCTGAAGGAGGCTCCAGGCTCTGAGCTGTCAGCACGGAGCCCGACACAGGGCTTGAACCCACGAACTGTGGGATCATGACCCAAACCAAAGTCGGACACTTAACCAGCTGAGCCACCCAGGCGCCCCTTGCCCAAAATATTCTTAGAAGTAAAATTCTTACAAAAAATCTTGTCCTCGGGGCGCCGGGGTGGCACAGTCAGTTAAGCGTCCAACTTCAGCCAGGTCACGATCTCGCGGTCCGGGAGTTCGAGCCCCGCCGTCAGGCTCTGGGCTGATGGCTCAGAGCCTGGAGCCTGTTTCCGATTCTGTGTCTCCCTCTCTCTCTGCCCCTCCCCCGTTCATGCTCTGTCTCTCTCTGTCCCAAAAATAAATAAACGTTGAAAAAAAAATTAAAAAAAAAAATCTTGTCCTCATTTACAACAGAGAAAATCGTTGACTTTCTACTTTGGGAAAGTGCTTGTGGGAAAGAGAGAACGGTATGTTCGGCTTTTGAGGCCTAATATCCCAGTTATCTTGGGACTTGAAAATATTTATGCTAATATTAAGTTCAGGTTGTGGCTACTTTGTTGTTCTTTTTCAGTTAATTATAAACTATATCACTCTGGAAACTTGCCCCAAAGTCCAGGTGACCCCAAGCTGAAAACTGACCATGTAGATTTAGAAGCTAAATCAGTAAACACTATAGCAGAAATAGAGACTTCTAGAAGGAAGGTGCCTGCCCTGAATAGCTGCCTTAGTGTGGCACACCCGAAAAAGATCCAATCCTGTGCTTTGGACATACTTTTGAGTAATAATGGTAACGAATTTGAATTATTGGCTTAATTCCCCTCAAAATTTTTTTCACTTTTGGGGCACCTGGGTGGCTCAGTTGGTTAAGCGTCTGACTCCTGATTTCACCTTATGATTCATGAGATGGAGCCCTGCATCGGACTCTGTGCTCACAGCATGGAGACTGCTGGGGATTCTCTCTCCCTCTCTGCCCTTTCCCTGCTCACACACACGCTCGCTTGCTCGCTTGCTCTCTCAATCTCTCTCTCTCAAAATAAAGAAACATTAAAAAAAATTTTTTTTTGCCATTTTTTTCATTGCAGAGGGAGGAGGATAATGGAATTCATAGCAGAAATTGCATTCTAAAGCTGCCAATACAAATAGTAGCCACAAATGACACGTCCTACCGAGCACTGTAAATCTGGCTCGTCCAAATGCAGGCTCTAAAACTTACGCTGGATTTCAGAGACCTAGTACCAGAAAATTAAAACCAGCTTATTAAAATTGTTTTATACTGATTATATGCTGAAGCAAAATTCTGACTATATTAGGTTTAGAAAAACTCTTATCATTAAGGTTAATTTCTTCTGGTTCTTTTGAAAAAAAAAAATGGCAAAATTTAAACCTGTGGCTCACATCTGTGGCTCACGTTATAGTTCTATTGGGACAGTGCTGTTCTCAAGTGACCAACTTCAGCTCCCTAAAAGCAGAAGGGAAATGGCCCACATTCACTCCTGCAGCAGGTGAGGACGTCATTGGTGTTCTGGAGCGGGACTCCCAAGTCCTGTGGATGAGCCTTCCCCCCCTGAATCCTGGGCTCCCCCTGATGTAGAGGCTAGAACCATAAAGAAAGCCATTCTGTTGTTGGAAACCACCAACACAACCCTAGTGGTGAACACCTTTCAGAATGTAGATGTTCAGAGGCTCTCACCGCCCCCTGTAGTGGATGCTGTGGGACTCCAGCAAGATTCCCTTACGGCAGGGAGGCACCACGTGGTCACCTAGCTGCCCTGGTGACACCAGTTCCTAGGGAGAAGTGCCTTTGACCAATGGGAGCCACCTCATCCAAGGTAGACCCTTTCCAAACAATCCCTTGCACCCAATGACAGGGCCATGTGGAGGCACAAAGGCCTAGACCCTGGCCTCAATCTGGGACACTCTGAAGGGCTACCTTAGACCCATAGTTCCCTGTGCCGTTGACAAAGGCCTCTGTTGCAACTCCATTACCATCTAGCTGTTCCTGCTGCCCAATCCTGCTTCCCACCCTCCCTCACACCGCACCTCCCCAAAAATTCCCTATGTACAAACTTCCATCCCAAAGCTAGTGTTCCCCCAAAATTCATATGCTGGAACCCTAATCTGCAATGTGATGGTATTTGGAGAAGGGGACTTTGGGAGATAATTATGTCATGAGAGTGGAGCCCCGTGATGGGATTAGCACTCTTCGAAGACAGGAGAGATCGTTTCTTCTCTCTGCCCTCTGCCATATGGGGGCACAGCAGGAAGATGGCCATCCTCAAACCAGGAACTGGGCCCTCACCGGACCAGATCTGCAGACACCTTAATCTTGAACTTCCAGCCTCCGAAACTGTGAGAAAACAAACATGTGTGGTCGAAGCCACACAGTCTATGGTATTTTTGTTACAGCGGCCTGAACTAAGAGAGCCTGCTCCCCAGGAGGCCCACCTAGAACATCCCCAGAAGTGAAGGAAACATTACGGAGAAAGTATACTGCGTGCACACGCGTGACACCCAAATGCACGGTCTAGGAAATAAAGTCAGGATATTTGGGTCAGCCACATACAAAAAAGCCGAGCTGCTACCAGCTCCCACAGGCTCTCTCAGTTGTGCTTATTGTCAAACATCCGTCAGTCTCCGCTTTGTCGTGCACAGAAAAGAAATCCTGCCACCCAAGGGCTAACCTACACCCGCACGACTGGTCATCTCACCTAGTTAGAGCCCTGTGCTAAGAAGTCCAGAGATAGAGGCTTCAGCTATCCCAAAGGGGCCAATTAATTTCATAGTGTTCTTGACCACAAACCGCACCGCCCTCACCACACAGACTCCGAGCGGCACGCACAACTGTGGGTCTCCGAGTCGGTGCATGGGAACAAGGGCCTCAACCGACACACGTGGTGACCAGGTCAGGTAACTCACACAGGTGCACGCAGGCAGCGGCTGCCCAGCCACTTTTTTCTGCAACCTGCCTGGGTTCACACAGTGCTTCCATCATGAAGAGGAGGCATCTTCCTCCCAGAGGTGGCTCTCGCGGATTCCTGGCCTCTGCTTGTTTTCCCTTTCTCTGGAATGTCAGCTCCCTCCCTGGTCCACAATGGCCCGGACACTTCCGTTCAGCGGCACAGGTGTTTTTCCTGTGCTCACACGCATGCTTTCCCCTCCCCTCCCACCTTCCCCTTTGATCTCCTGCACTTCATTGCTGTAGCTTCTCAAACTCGGGAGGGGTTCCATCAGAGACGCTGAGGAACCTTTCCATGCTCTCTCCCTCTCAATATGAACCCTTCCTGAGATCCTGAGATCAGAGCTCCTTCCATCCTGTTCCTCCCCACACTCCTGGGGACTTCTGGGTGGGGGTGTTTGCTTGGCTTGCATCCCAGAGAACATTTGGAAGCCGGAATCAGAGAGCCTCGCTGCAGCTCCAATCAGCTTCTCTCGTGCTCAGCCAGTTCAACTCTTGCCGGTGATTGAACAGAGAAAAATCTCTCTTGTGTTCTTCTGTTTACTCTCATTAGAAAACCAAACAGAAGGCAAGCTTAGGGAACATCACACACCTAGGACCTGGAAGGCTGAGCTAGATCCAGGACAGCCTGAAGCAGCAGAAAAACAATGTGTGCGTAGGGGAGAATGGAAGCTTCCAAGGGCAACGACCACACCCATCCTGCTCAGAGTGGCTCTCCAGACTTCGAAAGCCACCCAACAATTTCTTACCGCTCAGTAAAGAAGTATAAAGAGCAGGAGGACCTTCTCCATCGTGGGCCCCGAGGAAGTGTGGGAACTGAAATACATAGACAACCGACTTGGCATTAACCTCAGAGGGTTTAGAGGGTTTTTTGAGTTTTGGTTTTGGTAACCATTT